AGATTTTCCAGTGCAGATATTGGCCCACTCTGTCATGCCGGGTTTTATATTCAGTGGGTGCCAATATCGTGCAACCTGATACAAGATGATCAATCGTTTCTGTATATTGATCTCAGAGTCTGCATTTTGGGCTGACAGAATATTTTCGTATATGTGCTTGATAATTCCTAGTTAGCAAGCATTGGTCCTGCGCAGCAAGGATAATACCTTCAGTTTCCGCTTTCAACCCTGCACTACGTAGCCACTGAAGGGTACGGGTTTTGTCTACGTCAGCTTGTTTGGTACGGGCAGAGTATTGGCCATTAAGCGGTTTATCTTGCCATCGCTTCTGTATCTGGTCGGTTGCATTCGTCTTTGCTGTCTTTTTTTTTCTAAGTATTTTGCAGTTTCAGTCAGTGTATTGTGCTGTACTTGCATTTTTGCGCATATTTGAAACTCTATTTTGAATTTGTTGGCTTCTTTTATTACGGAGTAAAGACGCTTACTACTTTCATGTTCCTTGACGCATACCATCATCCAGTCTTCTGTACTTTCCAAGTATCATTGGAGGCCAATTGTTGTAGTTTTGTAGGACAGTTCTAGTTGAACTAATCCTCTGCCTCCTTCGGATCTGGGCACATACAGACGATCAACATCAGCTTTGGGATGATGCATGCGGTAGCAAGTGAGAAGCTTTCTCGTTTTGACATCCATTCGATTTATTTCAGCTATGGTCCAGTTAAGGACATTACAGCTGTATTGCACCACAGGGACAGCCAATGTGTTTATGGCTGATATTCTGTTTTTTGGGTTTAGCTCGGGATTTAGTACCAGACGTACACGCCTGTAGTACTCTTTTCTTATTTTTTTCATTTGGGGGTTTTGTATGCCATCACCTTCGCTAATTCCTAGGTACTTATAAGCTTCATCATGCTCCAGTTCCTTAATCTTTGTGACAAAATCTAAATCTATTAAGGGTGTTTCTGTAATTCTACCTTTCTTGAATGTTACTTTTTCACATTTATCTAATCCGAAATCCATACCTATGTCGTCACTCAAGTATTTTACAATATTGAGGAGTCCCTTCAACTCATTGTCGTCTTTGGCAAAGAGTTTGAGATCATCCATGTAGAGTAGGTGATTGAATATTTTCTTATTTATTTTGTAACCATAGCTACTGTTGTTCAGTTCATGCGTAAGAGGGATTAAGGATAAACAAAACAGAAGGGGTGACAGTGAGTCTCCTTGAAAGATTCCTCGTCGGATATTTAGACGGTTGGCAGTGCCCGTGGTGTGACTAAGGTATAGTTTGGTGTTCCTCATTCCTATGCTGTGCTTAAGGAAATTTAATACCACAGGGGATACTTATACATTTCCAAAGTTTTAACGATCCAATGTGGAACACTATCAAAGGCTTTACGATAATCAATCCACGCTGCGCTAAGATTTCTACGTCGTCTCCTGCACTTTTCCAGGGTCATTTTATTTAGTAGTTGTTGATCTTTGCAGCCATATGAACCTCTCCTTCTATTCCAGGGGAAGAATGCTGTTTGTTTCTAAAAAGGAATAATTACGGTTCGTCAGGAGAGACGTGATCAACTTATACGTTGTGGAGAGACATGTTATTGGTCTATAATTTTTCGGGTCACCTGTTTCAGTCGTCTTTTATTATGAGCTATGTAATACCTTCAGTAATCCATTCCGGGATTTTATTGGGATTATTTACAAGCGTTGATAATGTTTTTGCAAGGATTTTATGGATAGATGAGAGATGATAAAGCCAGAAATTGGGCAACTTGTCATTTCCTGGGGATTTCCATTTTTGTGATTTCATTAGAGCTTGCCTAACATCATCTGTGAATATATTTTCCCATTCTTGCAAAGGTGTATCCAGCATTCGTTCTTCTTCACGGCGGATCCATTCTGCATTTGGGTTATATTCCTTTGGGATGCTCCAAATATTTTCCCAAAATGTCTGTACATTAGCAATCGATGGTGGCCTTTCGACATGTATAGGTGTTTTTCCAATTTCCCTGTAAAATGCCTTAAGGTCCGTTTGGAATATTTTATTTTGTTGATAGAACCTACAACGTTTTTTGTGTCGTCTTGTTCTCTGTGCCTTTAGCTGAAATTTCTGTGATTGATGGATTGTCAATTAAGTATTTAATGTTATATTTTTGCTTGATCTTTTTGCACTTACGTGTGGAAATATTGGGGTTTCTGGTGAGCTCATCTAATATAGAAAGCTCACATCTGATTTGTTGTATTTCTCGTATCAGTTTTGTTTTCCAAGCTGGTTCTCTATGTCTGTTAATTTTATTTATTGTCTTGACCCCAAGCTTCCGAGTCGCTGCTAAAGCTGTGGCGTATATGACGTTGTTAACGTCTGTGATGTTTCCCGGTGGTTTATCTGTTAACAGTGTTTCCAGAGCAGCGTTGTATATTTTCACGATGTGCTTGTTGGAATTTGTCATATGGATTTTGGGGAGCTGCTCTCTGTCTGACAATTGTATTAACGTTATTCTGCTGAGTACTTGGATGACGTTTTTCGCTTCGGCGATTTCAGCTTCGTGGTTTTCAAGGAATTCTAACTTAATGTACCTGGAATCATCTTCAGTGACAATGTCTGGAGAGCTGCAGGTTGTGTTTAAGGTAGAGTCTTTGATTTTATTTCCTTGGGGGTTATTTCGTATTTCATTTATTTTAGTTTTTACCTCATGCTCTGTCACATTACTTATTTCTACTTTCATCTCATTACACTTTGAGTGATGGGTCATAGTTTTTTGTCTTATATCTAATTTTATCCTATCTGTTTCTGTCTTTGAGAGTCTGTTGTTTCGCATAATGTCTCTACGGACATTGGCAAGCATGTTTGGATTGAGGTTAGGTCTTATGTCCTTTCCGACCATACTTCTTCCTATTTGATATGTTTGATTCTTGGTGTTCCTTCCTGGGTTTTCGAGTGCAGTGAAGAAGGATATCATAACTTGTCAATACTCTTCGCGGCTCCATTTCGTTCGTTTTCTTTTTATTAGTTAATTTGGTATTTAGTCACTTGGTCCAAGGTTGGCAATAATCCGGGTTTGGTGACCTAACGTCTCTTCGTTTGTGGAAGAGTTTGTTCTAGTGACAGATTTTTCGTCCTCAGACTGGTTCCTCTCTGAGGGACGCGGCCCTTGTTGTCCCGGATGACGACCGATCCGGTATGAAATATTATTCGTATTCATTGAAATTGGTAGATGTGCGTTTGAACCTTGACCGCCAAGGGGTAATTATGTTCAATTTATCAGCTTTAGGACGATTTTCGAAGAAGATCCAAGAGCACGCCCAACCAATAATAATCACTCGCAATTACCATGTCACCAAATTCAAAAAACCAACACTTGAACCCACTAATCTCCTAGGAGATCAGAGGGGACAACAGCTGAAACGTTGTGTTCGTCATGAAGTATTCTCTCCGCCTACGACAGAATAAGTACTCACATGACTCAGCACCACTCCAGAGTACATTTTGACTCAGGACATCATGGAAGTGTTGAAAGGTTATTGTACCTGAAACAATTTTTCCAGATACAAGTCCTACGAAATATCTTTTTAAAGAAAAATAACATTTTAAATATGAAAAGGGGCGATTGCTACAGAGCTTCGTTTTAATGTTCAATATAAAAAAATAATCGATTTCTGATGTATACTCATTTCTTTCCGGGTCCCGCCCAGAGACCTAAGGTCAGAAATGGCATCATGACATTTTCTACTGAGCAATGAAAAGAAAACAAGAAACACATATTTTACATAGATAAAGCCCTTCGTAAGCTTTAGGCTGTACTCGGGTGAAAAAAAATGTATTTCTTTAAAGCATTGGCTCCCAGGAATCCCTTCAATGAGTCTACTGGAATCTTTTCCATCAAATCCGAGGGCTCCAACTACAACAGGAATTGTTGATGTCCCCATGTGCCACATTTTTGAGATTTCGATTTCACGGTGCTTGTATTTTGATAGCTTTTTGAAGAACTTCAAAGATACATTGCAGTCTGCAGGGACTGCCATATCAATAAGGAGGCACCTTTTTTTGTTTGCAGTCTCTAATAACAATGTCTGGGCGGTTAGATTTGATTGTTCTGTCTCTGTGTATTGTGTAATCCCATAAAATTCTAACAGGTCCTATCTCCGTAACCGGGCCTGGGTGTTGTTCATACGACTTTCTTTCAGCTTCCTTCCCGTAGAAGTTACAGATTTTCCAATGCAAATATTGCCCTACTCTGTCATGCCGGGTTTTATATCCAGTGGGTGCCAATATCGTGCAACCTGATACAAGATGATGAATTGTTTCTGGGTAATTATCGCAAAATTATTATTATTATTATTATTATTATTATTATTATTATTATTATTATTATTATTTCCTTTGATTTCTGATATATACTCATTTCTTTCCGGGTCCCGCCCAGAGACCTAAGGTCAGAAATGGCATCATGACATTTTCTACTGAGCAATGAAAAGAAAACAAAAAAAAAAACACATATTTTACATAGATAAAGCCCTTCGTAAGCTTTAGGCTGTACTCGTGTGAAAAAAAATTGTATTTCTTTAAAGCATTGGCTCCCAGGAATCCCTTCAATGAGTCTACTGGAATCTTTTCCATCAAATCCGAGGGCTCCAACTACAACAGCTGATGTTCACATGTGCAACATTTTGTGATTTCGATATTATTATTCCCATAATTATTATTATTTTTTTCCTGGTTGGGATTGGTCGCAGTTTGTGCAAACGGAAGGAACCGCAAATGAGCAGCACTAAGAAAGGATTAGACGAAACATTCACAGAAGTTCACACGGATCGGCAGACCCCCGAAAAAGGCCGGCCGAAACAACGGCCGAAATACTGTGATTATAACGACACATGATTCTTGTTATTAGAAACTCAAGAATTATCTAAATTTAATTTAAACACAAAATAGTGTTTAAATTAAATCTAGATAATTCTTGAGTTTCTAATAACAAGAATGCAGTTTCGCGCATGCAATGTCTTCTGCACAAATTTGTCTCTCAATTCTTTGTCTCATATTAATATTTTTTTTTTTTTTTTATTCAACTTTATTTTATCGCTTTCTTTCTCGTATTTATGTCTACATATTTCTTTCTTTCTACCATTTAATCTTCCCCTATTTCTTTCTTTTTCTTATTTATACTTCCATCTTTCTTTCTCTCTTTCTTTTTCTCTTTTTTCTCGTATTTATGTATGCATATTTATTTCTTTCTACTATTTATTCTTTCTTTCTTTTTCGTATTTATACTTTCATCTTTCTTTCTTTTTTCTTTCTTTCTCGCTTTCTTTTTCTCTTTCTTTCTCGTATTTATGTCTGCATATTTCTTTCTTTCTATCATTTATTCTTCCTCTATTTCTTTCTTTTTCGTATTCATACTTTCATCTTTCTTTCATTTCTTTTTCCTTCTTTCTTTCTTTCTTTCTTTCTCGTTTTCTTTTTCTCTTTCTTTTCGTATTTATGTATGCATATTTCTTTCTTTCTATCATTGATTCTTAATCTCTTTCGTATTTATACTTTCAACTTTTTTTTCTTTCTGTCTTTATTTCTTTCTTTCTTTCTCGCTTTCTTTCTTTCTTTCTTTCTTTCTCGTATTTATGTATGCATATTTCTTTCTTTCTATCATTGATTCTTAATCTTTTTCGTATTTATACTTTCATCTTTTTTTCTTTCTGTCTTTATTTCTTTCTTTCTTTCTCGCTTTCTTTCTTTCTTTCTTTCTTTCTCGTATTTATGTATGCATATTTCTTTCTTTCTATCTTTTATTTTTCCTCTATTTCTTTCTTTCTATCATTTATTCTTTCTTTCTTTATTTCTTTTTCTTATTTATGTCTGCATATTTCTTTGTTTCTATCATAGCTTATTCATTAATTTCTTTCTTTTTCGTATGTATACTTTCATCTTTCTTTTTCCTTTCTTTCGTTCACGCTTTCTTTCTTTCTCTCTTTTTTTCTCATATTTATGTCTGCTTATTTCTTTCTTTCTATCATTTATTCTTCCTCTGTTTCTTTCTTTTTCGTATTTATACTTTCACCTTTCTGTCTTTTTCTTTCTTTCTTTTTCTTTTTTTTTCTTTTCTTTTTTTTCTCGTTTTTCTCTTTCTTTCTCTTATTCTTTCTCTTTATCATTTGTTCTTTTTCTTTTTTCGTATTTATGTCTTCATATTTCTTTTTTCTTTTCATTTGTTCTTTCTTTCTTTCTCGCTTTTTTTTTTCTTTTTTCTCGTATTTATGTATTTATTTCCTTTCTTTCATTTTCGTATTTATACTTTCATCTTTTTTTCTTTCTTTCTTTATTTTTTCTTTTTTTCTCGCTTTCTTTTTTCTCTTTCTTTCTCGTATTTATGTATGCATATTTCTTTCTTTCTATCATTGATTCTTAATCTTTTTCGTATTTATACTTTCATCTTTTTTTTCTTTCTGTCTTTATTTCTTTCTTTCTTTCTTTCTCGCTTTCTTTCTTTCTTTCTTTCTCGTATTCATGTATGCATATTTCTTTCTTTCTATCATTGATTCTTAATCTTTTTCGTATTTATACTTTCATCTTTTTTTTTTTTTTTTTCTTTCTTTCTTTCTTTCTTTCTTTCTTTCTTTTCTTTCTTTTTCTTTCTTTCTTTTCTCGTATTCATGTATGCATATTTCTTTCTTTCTTTCATTGATTCTTAATCTTTTTCGTATTTATACTTTCATCTTTTTTTCTTTCTGTCTTTCTTTCTTTCTTTCTTTCTTTCTTTCTTTCTCGTATTCATGTATGCATATTTCTTTCTTTCTATCATTGATTCTTCATCTATTTCTTTCTTTTTCTTATTTATACTTTCATTTTTTCTATTTTTCTTTCTCTCTTTATTTCTATCTCTCTTTCTTTCTCGTATTTATGTATGCATATTTCTTTCTTTCTATCATTTATTCTTACTTTCTTTATTTCTTTTTCTTATTTATGTCTGCATATTTCTTTTCTTATTTTCTATCATAGCTTATTCATTAATTTCTTTCTTTTTCGTATGTATACTTTCATCTTTCTTTTTTCTTTCTTTCTTTCGTTCTCGCTTTCTTTCTTTCTCTCTTTTTTTTCTCATATTTATGTCTGCTTATTTCTTTCTTTCTATCATTTATTCTTCCTCTGTTTCTTTCTGTTTCGTATTTATACTTTCACCTTTCTGTCTTTTTCTTTCTTTCTTTTTCTTTCTCGTTTTTTTTCTTTCTTTCCTTCTTTTTTCTCTTTCTTTCTCGTATTTATGTCTACATATTTCTTTTTATCATTTGTTCTTTCTCTATTTCTTTC